AAATATACAAGCAGCTAATGCAGCTCAATATCAGAAAACAAGCCAATGAAAAAACGGGCCAGAGGACCTGAACAGACATTGCTCCAAAGAAGACATACAGGTGGCCAACAAACACATGAAAAGATGCTCAACATCATTACTTATTAGAGAAATGCAAATCAAAACCAGAATGAGATATCACCACACACCAGTCAGAATGGCCATCATCAAAAAGTCTACAAACAATAAATGCTAGAGAGGATATGGAGAAAAGGGAACCCTCTTGTACTGTTGGTGGGAATACAAACAGATACAGTCACTATGGAGAATGGTATGAAGATTCCTTTAAAAACTAGAAATAAAACTATCATATGACCCGGCAATTCCACTACTGGGCATATACCCTGAGAAAACCATAATTGAAAAAGTCACATGGGCCCTAATGCTCATTGCAGCACTATTTACAATAACCAGGACTTGGAAGCAACCTAGATGTCCACTGAGAGATGAATGGATAAAGAAGTTGTGGTACAAATTGTCCACAATATGCAGTATATGCAACATATGTTGTATAAAATATTACCAAGCCATGAAAAGGAATGAATTTGAGTCAGTTCAAATGAGATGAACCTAGAGAGCATGTTATACAGAGTGAAGTAAGTCAGAGAAAAACAAAAATAGTATCTTAATGCATATATATATATATATATGTGAAATCTAGAAGACTGGCACAGATGGTCCTATTTGCAGAGCAGGAATAGAGATGCAGATGTGGAGGACAGTCTTGTGGACACAGGGGAAGGAGAGGGTGGGACAAATTTAGAGAGTAGCATTGATGTTTATACACTACTATGTGTAAAATAGATAGCTAGTGGAAGGCTGCTCTATAACACAGGGAGCCCAGTCTGCTGCTCTGTGATGACCTAGAGGGGTGGGATGGGGGCGAGGATGGGAGGGAAGACATACATATACACTTATACCTGATTCTTGTTGTAGTGCTGCAGAAACCAGTGCAACATTGTAAAGCAATTATCCTCCAGTTAAAAAAAATTTTTTTAAGTCAACTCACATTGCAACAGACAAGGAAAATGTATCAACTCTATCTTGTCAGTTACTATCTCTGCAAAAATGTTGTTCTACTGCTATACATATATATGTACTAGAGTTGCAAAATGGCAAACTGTCACAGGTTGCCTGGGACTGAAAGATTTCCTGGGACTCTCAGTACTAAAACTGGGTTAGTCCCAGGCAAACCAGGACAGTTGGTCACTCTAGCATACACACATCATGTTTTATATTTTGTAAGTGTAATGTATTATGTATTAGTTATACACATATTTTTCTCTGAATAATGTGCATGATTCTTTTACTGTGCTATATAATAAGATGATGCCCTCAGTAACTAGCCTGGTCAGTGACTCTTTGCTAATGTGCTAGACTAAGTCAGCATGCTGATATTTCTTTTGAGATATTTTATCTCAGTTTCACACATTTCTTACTTCCTCCTTTTCTTGATGCTGTGTATTCTATAATTCGCTAAATGCTATTAGCGTAAAGAAAAATTTAGCCAGCTTCCTGAAATTTGTAAAATGTATTTTGTACATGTAGTCTATCAGTATTTTGAAGGAATAAAGTACCTGGTCTTCTTTATTAAAAAGAAAAATTGCTCCACTGGGTCAGGATTAGATTAAGTGGTCAACCAATAGTGGACTGAAGAAGATAAAAGTATATGTGTATTTTTTTTTTTTTTTTGTAAAAGAAGTGCAGGGACAGGCAGCCAAGGGCTATCAAGACAGGTTCATAATATTAAAGACCTAAGCTTATTCTATATTGTTGTGCTAAATCTAAGATGTTTGCTGAAATTCTAGCCATTTCTACCATATTGCAGTCAATCAGATAGAGGAAGAGATAGGGAATCACATTCAGTATTTCACCATCAGCCAGAATTTAGTCATTTGACCACATCCAGTTTTGCACTTGATACTGGAAAATAGAAACTTTACTCCAAGTGGCCATACATACCATTAAAAAATCAGAATTCTGTTTCTTAGGTAAAAGAGGGAAAACAGAGGGGCAATTGGAAGTCTTTAGAATACTTATTCAGATTGGGTGTAGATGAAATTTCTACTTTTGTAACCCGGTGGTTGCTTTATTCTTTTCCAGTTTGTTTCTTCTCTGCCTTCAACATGTTATTCCTGTTAAAAATGTAAACGTTCCCTTACATTTAACTTTATCAGCATATGAGTTTGCATACCTCTTGGCTGGCATCATTTAGGGTCTCTTGAACAGTTGTAATACATGATACATGTGGAAAGGAATTGAAAGCATGCCTAACTCTCTGCTGAAGGTTTGGTCAAGTATTTCCTCCTCTAGCATTTGGAGTCATATCAGTTCAGTTCAGTCACTCAATCGTGTCTGACTCTTTGCGACCCCATAAATCGCAGCACGCCAGGCCTCCCTATCCATCACCAACTCCTGGAGTCCACCCAAATCCATGTCCATCGAGTCAGTGATGCCATCCAGCCATCTCATCCTCTGCCATCTCCTTCTCCGCCTGCCCCCAATTCTTCCCAGCATTAGTATCTTTTCCAGTGAGTTAACTCTTCGCATGAGGTGGCCAAAGTACTGGAGTTTCAGCTTCAGCATCAGTCCTTCCAATGAACACCCAGGACTGATCTCCTTTAGGATGGATTGGTTGGGTCTCCTAGCAGTCCAAGGGACTCTCAAGAGTCTTCTCCAACACCATATATAGACAGTGGCTAATCAGGGACTTGCATATGACCATTGTGCCTGAAATCTTGAAATATGTAATTTCCAAGGGTCTGAGACTGACTTGTGACCACAAACTTGGGAATGATTTCCTTTGAGACATTTCAACCTGGTTTTGTGAGTCTCATGAGAAGGGTGAAGCTATACAGATACCTTGAATATCTTCAAAGATTCCTGGATTTATAGAATTTCACTGCTGAAAGATACTACATGTTCAACCTCCTCCTTTTACTGAGAAATTCCAGAGTTCAGTAACCTAAGGTCTAGGCTGTTGTTTAGTTTCTGAGTCATGTCCAGCTCCCTTGCAACCCCATAGACTATATAGCCCGCCACACTGCTCTGTCCATGGGATTTCCCAGGCATGAATACTGGAGTGGGTTGCCATTCTGCAGGGGATCATCTTCTGCATTGGCAGGCAGATTCCTTACCACTGAGCCCCCAGAGAAGCCCAGGGACCAGGCTAGTTCATTAAAAAATGTGGTTTGATAATTACTATTGGTTCTCTTCTCCAAACCTCATGAACAGGAGAAGACTTGTGTTTGTTCAGGCCCTATCTTTAGGCAGACACATCATCACCAATGTTCTACTATGTTCCCGACTGATGTTCAGAAGTGGCTTTGAGATGTTGCACTATCAGCCCTTCCATGGCCTCCGCAGGAGGAGAACATTAGTGTGGTAGGGAGTCACCTCCCCATCTACAGGATGACGGGCTTTGACTGTCCTCTCCTTTATGCATAAGTAAGAGAATGGGATATGTGTTAAGGGCAGAAGTCATTGTTTCTTTTCCACATTTTTAGATCTCCCTTATAATAGTCCTGTGAGTCCAAGGTGGCTCAGTGGTAAAGAATCCACCTGCCGAAGCAGGAAACTCAGGTTCAGTCCCTGAGTGGGGAAGATCCCTTGAAGAAGGAAGTAGCAGTCTACTCCAGTATTCTTGCCTGGGAAATCTCATGGACAGAGGAACCTGGTGGGCTACAGTGCTGGGGTCACAGAAGAGTCAGTCAAGCTTAGTGACTAAATAACAACCACAATAACAATCCTGAGTCATCTCTTGCAGGCATCATGTGAATCTGAGAACTTTGATAATTCATACTTTTTCTCAATGTATACATGGGACAGAAAGTTGTGTATGTTCACAGCATTATCAAATTGGAAGGAATCATTTCTTCAATTCCTTGATTTCTCAGTTGAGAAAACTAAAACCCAGAGAGATGACATGACTTAGCTAAGATCATCTTCCTTGCTATGACTTATAGAAAGCCAATGCTTAATACTATTCTATAGTTTGTTTCTAACAATACTGTTGTTGTTTAGTCACTAAGTTGTGTCCAACTCTTTTGTGACCCCATGAACTATAGCCCGCCAGGCTCCTCAGTCCCTGGGATTTCCCAGGTAAGAATATTGGAGTGGGTTACCATTTCCTTCTCCAGGGGATCTTCCAACCCAGGAATCAAACCCAAGTCTCCTGCATTGTAGGCATATTCTTTACCACTGAGCCACCAGGGAAACTCCTTTAACAATACTAACCATTACTATTTACATAGTAGATTAGCATCTGAAAACTAGTGTTTGCTTTAGATAAAAAAATGAGAAGTGTGGATTTGCTCCCAGACATTTTAAATATATACTTAGATGACATGGACTAGTTTTATAAAATATTTTATTTACAGTAGAACTTTACAAAAATAGTCTTAATAAAATTAATACAAAACCATTTTACAATATAACTTATATAACTATCTCCTCAAAAAATGACATTTGATTATAACACATAAACTACATTTGTATTTGTTAAGTCACATTGTAGTATAAATATGTTTTATCATCATTTTTTCATAATAAGGCATATACCAGTGAACAATGGACAACAAATTTTATTTTGTTATTCTTCCAATGTAAAATTCATCTTTGGCCAAAATGAAATTAACCAAAGAAAAGTAAAACAATTGTCCTTCTGTTCATTCATACATTCCTTTTTAATTATTGGAGAGTTTATCTGACAAAGACACAGCATTAATCTGAAAGCACCATGGCATAAAATCTAGTGACAATATCCCCAAAAGCCTTCTCCAATGTCTCCCTTTCAACTGTTTACTCAGTATTTTGCCAAGATAAATAAAGATTGATCTCAACCCTCTCCTTCATTAGTCTCAAGTGTTCTTAATATGCATTCAGGTTTTTAGACCTTCCCAACTGGCATATGTTTAAAATGCGAGATTATTTCTTTGGCTTCAAGTAGAGTTTCACAGCCCTTAAGAAACATACTGTGCTCCCCCGTGGGGCTGAATCTCTGTGACTCCCCACCCAACCACATTGCCCCGGATGTGACAGGACTCTGCTCCTCCGGCCCCTCTTATCTCTTCGTTGCTGAGAACACTATCCCAGATATTGAAGCCTGTGAGTCTGCCAGAAAAGGCTAATGTTTCATCAAAGCCACCACCCACGCAGCAGCCATTCTTTTCTTGCCCAATCTGCAGGATTCCTCCCTCAGGAACCATGTGACCTGTGGCCATATCGACAGCGGTGGCCACCAAGTCACCGTTCACCCACAAGGTCATGTTCCCTTTCTTTGAATTCCAGGTGCCGCACAGATGGGTCCACGTTCCTAGGGAAATCACAGCATCAGCGACCAGTCTGTTTTCCTCTCCACCCACCACAAGCGTTATGGACTGATAGCTGAGGTAGAGCTGGATCTCATATGGATTCCTCTTTGTGCCATAGGAAAACAGGACTGTTTTGTTTAATACTTCTGTGGCTTTGACCCAAATGCAGGCACTGAAAGTCTCAAGTTTCATAGGTGTCACTGGATGCACGCTTGCAAAAATCTTCTTGGAACGCATGGGGAATAAAATGGCTGTTTCACAACCTAGAGTGGCAAGAAAGTAAGAATATGAGAGAAAATACAAATTCATTTTGAAATGATTCTGGCAGTTAGGTATTTTAGGATGGACCTTTTAATGACTACAACTGAAAACTACATGCAGCAATATGTACCCTTGAGGAGCCCAAGGGTAATCTGTAAGTGCAAGGAAAACAGGAGTAAGGAAATCCAACTGTCTCATTAAGGGAAGCATTTAAATGGAAAAGAAGGCACACAGAGAAATAGTGAAACTGGGTTCGAACTTGGGCACTTGGGCACGTGATGCTAAGCGCTGACTCACTGGGAAAGACCCTGATGCTGGGAAAGGCTGAGGACAGGAGGAGAAGGGAGTGACAGAGGATGAGATGGTTGGATGGCTTCATTGACTCAATGGACATGAGTTTGAGCAAACTCTGGGAGATAGTGAAGGACAGGGAAGCCCAGCGTGCTGAAGTCCATGGGGTCGCAAAGAGTTGGACATGACTTAACAACTGAACAACAATAATTCTGGCTGCAGGAGCCACAGCCCTAACCAGCACACTTCACTGCCTCTTAGTGGTAGAAGGACCCCTGGGTTTGGCTAAAATAACTGGAATTCAGTTTGTTTTACTACTAGCAAGCTGTGTAGCTTTTGATGAGCCCCACAATCTCTCTAGGCTTGATGGTTATCTGTCAAAGGCTCTTCCCTTCTCCTCCTAAATTCTGCAAGTCTGTAAGCAACAAATATGTAACATTTGAGAAGAGCTTTGTAGACCAAGAGTGAGAGAGTGAAGTTGCTCAGTCATGTCCACTCTTTTCGATCCCATGGACTGTAGCCTATCAGCCTCCTCCGTCCACGGAATTTTCCAGGCAAGAGTAGCGGAGTGGGTTGTCATTTCCTTCTCCAGGAGATCTTCCTGACCCAGGGATCAAACCCAGTTCTCCCGCATTGCAGGCAGACACTTTACCCTCTGAGCCACCAGGGAATACTTTGTAGACCAAAGATATGCTTAAAAGTTCTCACTTTGTCCAAATGCTTACAAGTACTATGTAAGCCCTAACTGAAAATCTTTAAGGAAGAGTGAATTCTTCTGAGGAGCTGGATGGAGGACATATTTCCACTAATACACACTTTGAAGGAGACTTTCAAACTTGAGGGGTGGGAGCTCCCACCTCTGTCCATCTCCAGGTAACATGGCCAATCAGGGAGCAGCAGATGCTGAAGTGAAGACCTTTCAGGTGTCTCTGGGAAATAATATGCTAAAAGCTTTAACAAGTGAGCTCTGCTTTGTGCTGAACTCAAATATATACATATAAAAGACCAATTGAAGAATTTTTAAAAAATCTAAGTTAGGGCTTGGAGAAGGAAATGGCAACCCAGTCCAGTATATTCTTGCCTGGGAAATCCCATGGACAGAGAAGACTGGTGGTCTACAAAAGTGTTGGACATGACTTAGTGACTAAACAACAACAAAAATTAGGGCTAAGTGTTCACTTTATAACAACCTTTTAAAGAAGATTTACCATAAGATAGCTTTAAAAAGCAAATTCCCAGAGCATTTGAAGACTAAGTGGTAAATAAGACTTGTAGTAACCAAATATCCATGTGAAGTGTGGTAAACTAAGATAACCGTCTACAAGTGGCTGAGACGTGGGCTCCAACCCAAAAAAATTTAGCAGATGGACCTTATCCTTTTGAAATAGTCAAAGAAGATATTGAGGTTCAGAAAATCCTATAAGAGTAACCATCACACCAAAGCACACAATTGGTCCTGCCATACTTTGGTATTAACTTTTTCCCTGAATAATTTGAATTTCTAAAGATTTTTTAAAATCAATTTTTAACGAGGCATTGATTCTTTTTGAAAATGAAATTGGTAGATGCATACTTTTCTAGCTGTTATTTAAATCAAACAAAGATCATGGAACAAAAGATCACCATATGCTTGGGCATTTTAGATACTGTCTAATGTTTCAGTAAAACAGTGTTCAGAGAGAGCGCCTACTGCAATCTAATTAACTGATTTCCTGTTTAAATAAGCCCAAGCAGTGAGGATTGCATTCCAAAGCCTTCCTTGATCGCCTCTCAGAGACCCAGCTTCCCCTCTAGGCTGCACTGGTTATGTAAGTTCAATGAGTAGAACTGCATGTTGGCAAGTTTTTTCTGTGGCTTCTTTTGGGGGTCGGTGGTTGAGACTCTTGATGTGTCTTTAAAATGTCAGAAACTCTCGCATGAAATGACTTTTAACTAATAGGTTTTTTCTGATTATATTATCAAAGACCAAACAAAATTAAAACCAGGTTCTTAAGAGGCTGACAACAGAATGATTAGGAATCCCTTAGGAGCCAAGCTGGCAGGAAGCCGAGAGAGGAAAAATCAAAGCATGTGGGTAAATGCATGAATGGATGTAATAAGAATTAACACTTCTGAATTCAGAAATACATCCTTCTTCTGCTCTAACTAGTATGCAGAGGTAGAGCTGAAAGTTAGCATAACTCTTCAGTTTTCCCAGTACATGATATGTACAGTGATTTTACATGGCTTGCAAAAGACAAGAAATTTCATCCATTAAAACTGCGAGAGAATTATAGTTTGTCCTGTCACTTACACTAAGGATCTATTGTATGTTTATTTTATGATTTACCCCCCCCCTCTGAAGCCCTACCTAATAGTTAAAAAAAAAAAAAAGAAAAAACATACTCTGTACTGATAAAAAGTCCTCAGTTATTTAGCAAAGACTGGTATTTTGATATGGTTTCTGCAATTTTAAATGAAATATGCTCTCAAATATGCTTGATTCTGCCTCCTACCCCATATAGTAAGAGTTGCTTTATTGGACATAAAGAAGGGATGGTTTGTAATTGTTTTCTGTTCATAAGTTGCTTATGAACAGGGAAAAGTGTATTTTATATTTTCTTACCTAGGACATGGATTTTCTAATATAACCCACAAAAGATAGTTATAGCACCATTTCTTAGAAATTCTGGCTTATAAAGGAGTGTTCTTCACTCCAGACCTTCTCTATATTTCCTTGAGGCATCTTTAAAATGTATTATTTTGGGCCCACATATGTTTGGAAGTTCACTAGTATCACATGGGACTTTGACAGGTTGCATCTGGTTTGAACTGCCTCTCTTCTGTTTCACCCTGATCCTCCACATCCCCGGAGGTACTGCCTGGATGCCAACTAGCTCCTACATCTGAGTGTCCCACTGTGGATCCCTCAGCTGCTGGTTTATTCCAAACTTCACTCTTGGAGCTCACTCTGGAGCTCATTTCACAGACTCTGGGGGCTCGGGGTGGGGGCCTTGGGAGATCAGATTCAACCTCAAGTCTCTTGTTTGGAATTGGTAGGGAGGAGGGGTCAGCCCAGAGACTGGAAAACGTTCCTAAAAATTAGGCTGAGTCCTGAAATAGCGCGGGGAACCAGAGCTCCCTTAAGAGAGAGAGGCAGGCTAAAATTAGAAGAAGTGGAAATCCCTAACGGAGGGACGCTGGACATTGAGAGCGGTCACCCTTATAACTGGCCAATAGAGTTCCTCTAACGCCTGGTCGGATCAAGTGTCAGTCTGGAGGCCCTTGAGGTCTATTTCAAGACTGTGGTGGTTACCTACACAGCTATCTTCTGGGTTCCTCGGGACTGAAGACTGACTACTTTTGAAAGCAATTTTCCCGCCCTTTATGGTGTATTCTGAGCTCTGTGACCGCGCATGCTGAAAAAGAAGGGTGTGAGCCGAAGGTTTCCTCCCACTAAAGCCTCCCCTTAGAGGCTTCGTTGGTTGACTCGGTTTCCCGCAAGCCGCGCTTTGAGAACGAAGCCGCGCAGGGGTCCCCACCGGTTTCCTCGTCCTTACCTGCCGGCAGCCAGCGGCTGGCTGCCCAGCCTTGCACAGCTCGGAGGTCGGCCCGCGTCCGCCGCAGCTCCTCCAGCACGGTACCCAGGGCCCGCCACGCCTCCTCCTGCGGCCGCGGCGCCCAGGCCTCTTCCAGGCGAGCCAGCCGGCGGCCCGCATTCTGGCTCGCCTGCAACAGCTCGTCCAGCGCCCGGGCCAGCCTGGCCTCGGCGGGGCCCTCCGGAGCGCACGGCTTCTGCAGGCTGCCCGCCAGCCGGCCCAGCTCGGCCCGCAGCTTCTGCAGCTCGCCCCGGAGCACGTCGTCGGTGGCCTGGAGGAGCATGTCCTCCCGCATCTGCGAGTTCTCCAGCATGATGAAGAGCTTGTCCCACTCGGAGTTCTCACGACTGCAGTCGCACGGCGTGGCTAGAGAGAGGAACATACACGCATTACCGACCCGACCCTCCCTGGGGTGTTCTTTGTAAAATGCCCAGCTACCTCCACGGTCGCCAAGTGACAGCCCGTCACCAGTACCCCCTGCCCTTTAAGGAAACCTGCAAAAACCTTGCAAGTTTATAAGTTGAACTCGATGAAATTGCCTTTCATGGAGATCAAAGCAGGCGAATACCGGCGATTTCATACAATTTGACCCATTATGTATCTGAGAGAAGTAACTCTTTGAAACCTCCTTTCGTAAAGTGCTTTTCTCTTTTGCAAAACTCTTTTTTGTTGTTGTTGTTGTTTATTGAATTGGCAACAAAATATATGTATAATACCTAGACCTAAGGAGGTAGCTATGTAGTTAAGGGTTAGCAGAGAAACAGTTAAAATGAACTTACGGTCCTCAGTGGGATGGAGTCCATTGTCTATCTCGTTGTCCAAATTCACATACATGAGCTCATAATCATCTGAGTTCTCCGCCGATACTGCAGACCAGAGAGCGCAAAACAGAATCACAGGGAGATGCATTGCCGCAGAAACGAAGTTCTTCCCACAGCCGAGAGGGGACGAGCCGAGAGGCTCTCAGAGCGCAGAAGGAGCGGAGGAGAGCGCGAGTGAGAGGCAGGAGCTGAGCGCCCTTAATAAATGCTGGGGAAAGTCTGAATGGGGATGAATGAGTAATGCCAGTGGCACTGCCTTAACGGGAGTTCCCCAGATTTTGGGGGGGAGGGGGCTGGGGGGAGGGAGGAGGAAGGAGATGTGGGGGCCGTTGCACAATAGTAAACCGCAAAGGTTTACAGAACAGTCAGATTAATTGGAGGAGGGTCAGAGGGGAAAGAACGGGGGAGACCGGGCTACGACTGTCTCCCTCTGGGGATTAGCTGTTGTAACTTGAATTACTAAGTAGTACTGAAGGAAGAGAGGGACAGGAGAGGAACTAGGGGAATAGAGATTTAGGGGAACAGATTCAGCAGGCATAGAGGTGTGAAAGCAAGAGCATCATCCCAGCATTTTGTGTGCGCTCTCATTATTTCACAACCCTTTATGCATAGAAAACATTTTTTCACTTTTTTTGTGTGTGCAGTTTTACAGGTCTAAGATGTGAAAGTTACTTTCTGATTTCAAGATAAACCAACACAGTAAGAATGTGTATGGTTCTAGAAGCCAAATCCATTCCAGGTCCTTCCATCTTTAATCCTTCTGGAGTTAACAACTATACTTTTATAAACATACTTTTTAATGAGAAACACAGCAAAACTAGTAAACCTAAAATAAGGAGGAGTTGGGGGAAAGGAATAAACTGATTTTTTAGGTGTGTTTCTTTTCATAATCTATTATGATGATATCTTATTTCACTAGGTTCAGAGTCAAAGATCATGTTTTTAAAGTAAATTTAGGGATTCCTGCTTCTTTCCAGTAAGCTGAAAACTCTGCTGAAAAAAACCTAGAAATGTGTTTACATTCGAATAATAATTTAAAACTTTAAATGTACAAATAAATTTCCAATAAAGTAAGGACAATATCCAGAGGCCAAAATATGCTGTTGCTTCAGTCATGTCCAACTCTTGGTGACTCTTTGTGGGCTGCAGCCCCGCTAGTCTCCTCTGTCCCTGGAATTTCCCAGGCAAGAATACCAGGAGATCATCCTGACCCAGGGATCGAACTCACATCTTTTATGTCTCTTTCATTGGCAGGCAGGTTCTTTACCACTAATGCCACCTGCCCAAAGAGAGGGAACCAAAAACTGGCCAGTGAGCCCATAAGCTGAATCTAGAGACCCCCTACACCCCCCCACACACACACACACACCAGGGGAGATGAAGGGGGAAGAGATGCTATCAGTCCTGTTACAAGTGTTATGGGCCACAAGACTTAGGGCAGGGTGTTGAGTTACTTACTAGATTTCAATAGATACAGCCCCAATCCTTACCCTAGCACAGGAAAGTGAGAAGTAAGCCTGTCTCTGTTTGACTGAACTCTACAAAGTCCCTAAGAGTTTGTGACTTTGGGCCTGCCCTTATACGTGTTTGAGAGGCAAATGTGTACTATCTGCCACAGTAAAAATAAATTCTGCCACAGTAAAAATAAATTCATAGCAAAAAATATTTAAACATAGGAGGAAACAATCTACCATAAATGAGAACCAGCAGAAACAAAATGAGATTGGACACCCCTCCCTCAAGAACTTCATTTATTTAAAATATAAGCTAGAAATTGGAAAATAAGTGTATTTAAAATGATTTAAGATCTGCAAGAAAGAACTGGAAACCTGAAAAAAGAAAAAGACATTGTCAAAAGAAGAAGAATAGGCCTACTATTTAAAAAATCAAATATAACTTTGAGTTAAAAAATTTAATTGAAATTTTTAAGAAATTAAAGGAATGGCAAAGCTGAAGAGAATATTAAGGAACTGGAAGAAAGATCTAAGAAAATAATTCTAAAATCCTTTCATTGTTCAGGATAATTTTTCTTTGTTAGTTCAAGTATGTTTATCTTTCAAAGGACAGCTACCAAAACCAAAAGGAAATAAAATGACCAAATAGAGGGAATAGAGTGAATTAAAAAAAAAAAAACTTGAACTGTCCAATAGGAAGTAGTAAAGAAGGGAAGAAAAGCATAGACAAAGCAAGATAAATAAAAAGCACATGTGGCAATGGTTTAGTTGCTAAGTCATGTCAGACTCTTGCGAACCCATGGACTGTAGCGCACCAGGCTTCTCTGCCCATGGGATTCTCCAGGCAGGAATACTGGAGTAGGTTGCCATTTCTTTCTCCAAAAAGCACCTGTAATGTAAAAATAAATCCAAATATACCTAATACTGTAAATATTAATCACTAAATATTAATGAAACAAGCATTCCAGTTAAGAGACAAAAGTTGTCAGGAATATTTTTTAAGTCCAGCTGTACATCACTTATAAGAGTCACACATAAAACACAAGAATCTAGAAATCTTGAAAACAAAATATTTAAAGGTGGTGAGAGATTATACCAAACAAGGGCTATTCAAAAAGCTAGCATAGCATTAATATTAGACAAAAATAGGCTTTAAGGCAAAGAGAGTAATGAAATTATGATGAAATAAATACTTTGCCGGGAAGATACCTCAGAACTATCTAGTAACATTGTTTCAAAAAAATATGCCAATATTGACAGACTTATTAGGAGAAATTGGTAAATCCATAGTCATAAAGGCAGATTTTCACATACTTCTTATAACTGATCCATTTCTATCATAATTGATCATTCAAATGCTAAAAATGCAAAAGGATATAGAAATGTATATAATTTAAAATTTGATATAATAAAATGTATCGAACATTGCCCAGGAAGTTTGATAAGCAAGTTCTACCATGCAAGGAACACATAATTCCCATTTTATATTAACCGCCTCTGAAAATGGAGTGTGCAGGAGTGCACTAAATTCTTTTTATATGTCTAGTAAGGATGATACTAAAAAAAGACAAGGTCAATACAAGAAAGGAAAACTGGAGGTCAGTCTCAAATATAGATGCAGAAGCTCAAATGAAGTATTAGCCAAAGAAATCCAGTAACACATGCTTTAAAATACATCATAACCAAGTTGAGTATATTCCAAGAGTGCAAGACTGATTAAACATTAGAATACTCATTCACTTACTACAGTAACAATTTAAAAGAGAAATCATATGGTCATAGGCAGATGCAGAAAAGTCAATTAATAAAATTTAACATTCATTCATGCTCAAACTAGGAAAAAGACAGGAACTTAAACTGAATATAAATACCAAGAATATGTAGAAACATATACATACATTGTGATGAGTCCTTAGAAGCATACTCTTTAAAAACAGGAATTAGAAAATGATATCAGGACCTGGTTCTACTCATCAAAGTGTTGGAGGTCCCAGCTGGTAAAGTAGGACAATAAGAGAAACTTAAAGAATATTACAAAGTTGTTACTTACTATAATTTGATTGTTTTTCTACAGAAAATCTTGAGACCCCCATTAATAAAAAAAGAAAAGAACTAAACACGCTTTGCTGGATGAAAGATCAGTGTACAAAAATTTATTGATTTCTTAATATAGCAGATAAATAGAAAACATCTTTAAAAAACCAAAAACTTCCATTTACAGTAGCAACAACAACTATGGAATACTTAGGAATCAATTAAATAAAAGATAGACAAGGCACAGCTAATATCACAAATTTTTAAAGATATAAAAAAATTACATAGAAGAATATATCATGTTCTTGAATGAGAAGACTCAGTTGCACAGAAATGTCAGTTATCCCAAATTAGTCTATATATTCAATGTGAAAAATAATCCTAACTTAGCTTTACAAGGAAGTTGACAAACTAATGATAAAATTTATATAAAGTAGCCAAGGGGAATTTGAAGCAGAAAGTGAAGAATAAGAGGAATCTGAAGCAGAAGATGAAGAAATTTGCCTTGTGAGGTATAAGGACTTATTATAAATTGTAATTAAGAAAATGTATAAAGGGCTTCTCAGGTGGCGCTAGTGGTAAAGAATCCACCTGCCAATGCAGGAGACATAAGAGACATAGGTCTGATCCCTGGGTCAGGAAGATCCCCTGGAGGAGGAAATGGCAATCCACTCTGGGATTCTTGCCTGGAGAATCCCATGGACGGAGGAGCCTGATGGGCTGTAGTCTATAGGGTCATAATGAGTCAGACATGACTGAAGTGACTTAGTATTACATAACTGGTGAAGGTATGATAAATAACCAGACCCATATACATGGGAAATTTTACATATGAAAGAAGTATTACAAATCAGAAGGGAAACAGTTGGTCACTGAATACATTGATCTGGGACAATTGTTTATATACACATACACATAAATAAATTTATAATTAGATCCCTTCCTTATATACACAAAAAAATAAAATCCAGATGGATTAAAGACATAAAACAAAATCATTAGGAGAGAATATAGTAGAATATTTTTATGAACATGGGTAGGGAAAGATTTCTCAATTTAAAAATTTATAAACCATAAAGTAAATTTAAAAACCAACTCCATTAGGATTACAACTTTAAAACGGACAGACCAAAAGTTAGTGTCCGGAATAAATAAGGAACTTCTACAAATCAGTGCTTCGCTGATAGCTCAGTTGGTAAAGAGTCCACCTGCAATGCGGGAGACCCCGGTTTGATTCCTGGGTTGGGAAGATCTGCTGGAGAAGGGATAGGCTACCCTCGCCAGTATTCTTGCCTGGAGAATTCCATGGACTGTATAGCCCATGGGATTGCGAACAGTCAGACACGACTGAGTGACTTTCACAAATCAGTGAGAAAACACAGACATCTTGATTGAAAACAGGCAAAGGAAATGAAAGGCTAAATCATGGCAGAGCAACATAAAAAGGTTGTTCAGCCTCAGAAGTAATTAAAGAAATGAAAATTAGAACAAAAAATGAGGTAACATTTTTATACCCGTCAGATTGGCAAAAACTGGTGTCTGCCAAGACTAAATGTTGGCAACAGAAACATTCATGCTTCTGATAGGTACGTAAATTGTTATAATCATGGTGGTAGGCAGAATAATGACCCCTGCCAACGTTGTCCACATCTTAATTCCTGCAACCTGTGAACACGATATGTTTCATTGCACTGAAGATAAAATTAGGTTACCATATAAGGAGAAAATCCTAGATTATCCAGATGGACCTAATGTTATCACAGGGTGCTTAAGTCAAAGAAAGGCAGAAGAGAGAGTCAGAGGAAGAGGTGTAGTGATGGAAGCAGGGTCAGAGAATGCTGTGTGGCTAACTTTGAAGATGAAGGAAGGAGACCCCAAAGCAAAGAATGCTGGTGGTCTCTAGAAGCCAGAAAAGCAAAGAACAGATTCCTTCCTACAACCTCAAAGAAGGAACCCAGCCCTTCCAAGACCTGGGTTTTTGCCCAGTGAGACTCATGCTAGACTTCTGTATTACAGAAATATAAGATAATAAATTTGTATTATTTTGGGCAAGTTTATGTCAGTTTCTTATGGCAGCTATAGAAAACTACTACAACCATTTTGAGAAGAAATTTTGGAACATCTAGAAACTTAACTCCTAGGGACAAACCCACTGCTTTACTACTTAATTATGTGGTCCAGTGACCATCAACATCACCTGAGAACTTGTTAGAAATTCCAATTCTCAAACTCTACCTTCAGTCTACTGAATCAGTATCTGTGTGCTTTAACAAGTCACTCAGGTCATTTTTAAGCACATTAAGCTCAATATCAATACCCAAGGGAGTATCTCCCACTTATGCATAAAGAAATATGTATAAAAATTGTAGCACTACTGGTGAAAGAAAATTATAATAATAATAATAACAATAAAAAAATCTTCCAACCATACTGTGTGAATAAATTTTTGCATATTTATTCACTGGAATACCATACAGCTATGCAAATAAATGCTAGAGAGTGTCCTGGATATAAAACTTCAATATAGAGATTTCCCTGGTGGTTCAGGGGCTAAGACACCATGTTCCCAATGTGGGAAACCTGGGTTCATCCCTGGTTAGGGAACTATTAATAGATCCCACATGCTACAGCTAAAACCTGGCATAGCTAAATAAATAAACATTAAAATAAAGCTTCAACATAATATTGGATGGAAAAAAATATGTTGCGTAAAGATATGTACAAAATATTGCTACTGATACAAAATTTTAAAACTTGCAAAGAACACTATAAATGCTTATTGTTATATATTGTTATATATATATGCATGCTATTAAAGTGTAAAGTCATTCACAAAGATGGTAAATACCAACTTCAAGATAGTAGTTGCCTCTGGGAATAATAGGAAGTAAATGGGATGAGAAGCAATTATGGTACAAGGTTGAGTTTTGATAAAGTTAGTTGGTAGGCACACCAGTGGTCCTTGTATTTTTGCCTATATTTGTCTAATGACTTGAAATGTTTCATAATGAAGAAAAATATATTAATTTTTGAATGAAATTAATAGGGTTTCTATACCAAAGTGTTTTCATCAGTTTTAAAAAACACCCTTACTTAATTTTGTATTATTTGAACAAAATTCAACTCCGCTAAAAATGACTAATCTAGGTTCCCCCCCCCCCAAGGAGTCTGAGGACCTTTAATGAGTATTGTATCTTGTCTTTAATTCCAGTGACAGTCCCATTTATTGTAACTTTTTCCAGCAGTTAATCAGTATGTGTACATAGCTAAGTTCTATGAGTTAATGTGCCTTGTATAGATTGGATGTGACATTGACAATTCCTGGTCTCTTAAGAAAAAGCTCTTAGTAAAATAAACAGAAAATGTTTTTCACATTTTAAAAAATCTGAATATTTCCAATATTTTGGGCTCTGTGGTTATATGATTAAAATCTGTTTGAGACCATTCTATGAGCCATATGTGGAAAAAAGAAATTCTCATTATTTACCATCACCCTGATACATTCACTTTGATCCAGAATCACCCTTTCATTACATTTTTTCATAGATATTCAGAAAATTCTGGTCTTCTTTTCTTAATCCTCATATCCAAATGTCCCCACCATTTAATAAGGGTTTACAAATATGTAATCACTGCTCGCTTGATTCTTTTTGTGTATAACTTCTATATAAAGAGCCAAATTTAAAATAAATAGAGGCAAGAAAATTCTTGTTCCAGATATCCCTAGAAATAAATTCTGAGACCTTTAAGTACTTGAGGGGATTTTTCAAAAAACTCCATACCATAAGTGATAGGCAGATGTTTCCCATATGTTGTTTGCAGATGAGTCCCATAGCTTAAGTCATTTTTTTCTTCTTTAGGTTTTGCCATTTTAAACCCAGTTGTCTATACAAATCTTTGAGGCAAATCACATGTGACAAACAAGCTGAATCTAAACCTCCCTTGATATAGTGCAGAAATTGAGGATCTAAATTTGGATTGCTACTTTTCTAACTATTCATAAAAATAAGGCATAGCCTCCATATGTCAGTTGTCTAAATCAGGCCTCCATATCTCTCAGGAACATGAATACATTCCTCTGCACTATTTTTTTTTTTTGTGGTTCAGTTTCATTTAGATCCGTGCTTACAGCACTGCTTAGTTTTTATTTAAACAGCATCCAAATGCTGTTTCTCAACAGGAATTCTTTATCGGAACTGTTTCCTCCACAAGGGTGTGGTCTGGTTACCGTCAAATTCTCTTTTCCCCAGGGCGCACTACTCAGGAAAAATTTTCGTTAGATAATAATGCTGATTATATCATAAAATGTTCCCTTTTACCGAACCTGTTTAATACTTTAGTGATTTTTCAGAATAAGGCACCATGTTATTTTAAGCAGAGGATTTGGCCATCAGCCTGTGCTGTTTAATATGTGAGGTAGTGCAAAATTTATCACATTGATAATAATATTATTTCTATGGCTCATGGACTGATAAAGTCATCATTCTTGTTATTGTTCCTTCAACAGGTAACGCCGTGCTGTTGAGGGTTTTACCTGCTGTGTATGATAAGCAGCCTCAACCAATTAACAGACACTTCACAGAACTCCTAGGCTTGATGTCTCGACTGGAACAACCAGAACAGTACCATCTTCTACGGCTTTTGCATGTAGCTGCAAAGAGGAAGCAAATGGAGGTAAAAATTATATTAAGTACAGCATGATCCACACAGAAACATTGCTGCTGCAAGCCATGTGTTATACCAGGATTCGTGACCTCCAGAGGAGAGGATTTTGGTCTGGTGTCAGAGATGAGACTTGACTACTTGGAGCTTTTTCTGCAGCAAAGTTTTATTAAAGTATAACAGAGATAGGGAAAGCTTCTGACATAGATATCAGAAGGGGACAGAAAGAGTGACCCCTTGCTAGTTTTTAGCAAGATGTTTTATGTCTGTTAGAAAGCTATTAATTGGATAAGAGAGACACTCAAGGCTGAGAGTATGCATTTTTGAGATAGGATGGCAGGAGGTGCATCATAAAACAATTGACATGAATACTGGTTTGTTGAGCCTGTTCTCAGCCCAAGGTTTGAGAAAAGAAAAAAAGTAGGGGGAACCATTTTGAAGAAAGGCAGATTCCAAAGCCAATACATAGTTTCATTACATAGTTTAAGAAAAACATTTCTATAAGGAAAACGTATTGGTTAGCTCAAGGCAGAACCAGGTGTCCTCAACACAGAATTAAAAGAAGCCTCTCTTAATTTTGTGTAGAGAAGGAAAAAAATGTCTGCCACTTGCAATTTATTTCCTCCCGCCTGTTACCCTCTCATCACAGCTGGGCCTATTTAGATGCATGTGTCATCTGGAAACATGCTCACAGACACCCTGAGAATGATATTTAATCAGATATCTGGGTACCCTCTGACCCAGTGTAGCTGACCCACAAAATTAACCACCACAGGTCCAGTAACACAGACACACCAAGTGTGCAAATCTGTAGTCACTGCAGGACAGCTTTCATGAAAGTTCATGTGGTCATGCAGTCCTTGGGATCTACAGTCTCTCAGATGGGCCCCTGGGGAAGACCTGCACCTGTCTTCACATATGGGGAAATCAGCCTGTAATGAGAGCGAAAGCTCACCTCCTAGACGGCAAATTAGTGATTCTCTGAGTGTGTGCCAAGCCTCTTCTGACCCTTTGTGACCCTGTGGACTAAAGCCTGCCAGGCTCCTCTCGTCCATGGGATTCTTCAGGCAAGAATACTTGGGTTGTCATTGGGAAGGTAGTGGGTTGCTATTCCCTTCTTCAGGAGATCTTCATGTCCCAGGGATCGAAGCCAGATCTCCTGCATTGCAGGCAAATTCTTTACCATCTGAGCCACCCAGGAAGTCCACTAGCACCATAATAATTAGGTTGCATCTGACTCTCAGCAACCAAACACCCAACCCATGCTGGTTTAGACAATAGAAGGAATGCATTAGTGCATGCACGGGGAAAAACCTGCAGATGAGACTTGATTAGGGGCTCAAGTATGTGAGCAGAACAGCTTCTCCATCTCCATTTCTCAGATTTCTGATTTCTCAGTGTTGGCTTCCATGTTCTGTAGATTTTCTCCTTGTGGCTTCTGGATGGGAATCGGGGTTCCCTAAGCCGTATGCTTCTCCCTCCATGACTCCTGAAACATCCAAACCAAAGTCCTGAGAGTCTTTGTTTCAGACTCTTGCTCTATCCCTGGAGCTTCTCCTGAACCTGAAGATACTCAGATAGAAACTAGAGGCTACTGGGAAGGGGGAAGTGGAAGTGGATTCTAGCGGGCATGAGCACATGCGCACAGGACAGATTAATGCTAAGATCAAGGTTGTATCAGTTACGGCTGCATCTTTGCTTCATTTTCATGTTAATGTCAATATCCACCACTCGAAAAGCAACACCAAGGTGAAAACTGGAACATTTGAATTCAATGTCAAAATTCAAAGAAAGGCAGACAAGGTTGATTATATGTGTACTTAACCACAATAGACTGTAAGCTCCTTGTGGTAAGGCATGATTTCTTCCTCTGTATCCCACATCTTGTTACAGTGTCTGATAGTACTCAATAAAGATTCATTAAACTAAACTGAATTAAAGAGGGTGCTAAGTGCTCTACAAAAGACAGAAACAGATTTTTAAGAAAAGGAGGGTGAGAGGAAAAAAAAAAAAAAAAGGTTGAGAGGACTTCCCTAGCAGTCCAGTGGTTAAGACTTGGCACTCCTAATAAGGTGGCATGGGTTTGATCCCTAGTCTAGGAACCAGGATCTCGGGCCCAGCCTCCCAAACAAAGGTATAAACAGAGATGGGGTGGCAGTGAGTTCTGCCTTAGGGGAAAATAGGTGCCATGAAGACCCACAGAGGGAGTAGCTTGAGGCCAGACCTTGAAGTTTTATGTCAGGTTGCGGAGAGAGGCAGATGGCCTTTAAGAAATGAGGACTGGGCTGGGAGACCTGGATATGAGAGGGCAGGCTTGGGCCCCATCCCCAGAGGTTTCCGTTCAGTAGTTCTAGGATGGGGTCCCCAAGTCTGCTCTTTCACAAGTTCCCTGGCGACGCTGCCCCTGCTGCTTCAGTGACCACGCTTAGAGCAGTCAGGCTAGAGGTCAGACAGAGGACTGGGTGCCTCTCTGTTACCTGGTACACTTTTTCACGTTTGCCCTGAGAACAACATATTATAGTCATTTTTTCCATGTCTTTCTCTCCCAGTGCACCTTAAACTCCTTGAAGAGCGCAGCATCTGAGTCTGCATATTTGTATGAACGCCCTACCATAGTGCCGGGCACATAGTAGGGCTTCAATAAAGTGTTGTTGAATTTGGAAATGAAAAAATGAACAGAAGAGATCAAAGAAAGTAAAGACTATGAAAATAAGTAAAAGGATGTGTGTGGTCTTCAAAGAGGGAAAGTGACTCAACAGGGTCATGATCTAGGGACTTAAAGGAAATTGGAGATAGGAATTCACCTTGGCCTCGGGGGCTGGAGACCCACTAGTGACTCATGAGAGGCAGTGGGCTGCAGGGGTGAAGTGGGGAGTGGAAGACCTCTATTATGGATTGTGTGTGGAAAGGAAGTGTAGGAAATGCCTGCATGGGTGTTGGAGTTTAGAGGAAATAAGGAGGGTTTAAAAATATCCAGTAGGAATAAAGCGATTGAAATTGTGGCAGAAAATATTAGATAGAACAAGCTAGACGTAGCCTGGGAGTGAATTCTAAGCACAGATGGAGAAACGAATTTCAGAAAGGATTAAGGACAGAAAGGAGGGACAAAGCTACAGCAGAGTCTGGGCGAGGAGTGGAGTTAAGGGATCACTAGACCACGCAAAAGAAAGCTCAGAGTGAGGGGGACACAGACAGGGTTGTGTTCGTTTCCTGTCTGCTGTAACATTACCACAAATGTAATGGTTTAAAACAACACAAACTTGTTACCTTACAGTTCTGGAAGTCAGAAGTCTAAAATGGGCCTGCAGGCTTGCGTTCCTGCCGGAGAATCTAGAGAAGAGTGTTTCCTTGCACTTTCCAGCTCTAAGAGGCTGGCTGATGGCCTGCATCGCTGTCACTTCTACTTTTCCATCATGTTTTCCCTGACTCCGACTCTCCTTCTTCCCTTTGCGGAGGCCCTGTGATTACATTGGGACCACCCAGATGATCCAAGATTATCTTGCCATCTCAAGACCCTTAACTTAGTCACGTTTACAAAGTCCCTTTTTCACAGGTTCCGGGGATTAGAATGTGGACGTCTTTGGGAAGTCGTTATTCTGCCTACCACAGATAGAGACTGGGGGCCAGGTGATGTGGTGAATAGAGAAAGGTGACTCGTAGGCAGGACCTGGTTTCAGAAAGGAGACAGCTGGGTATGCCATTTTATCTGCAGCCTGAAAGCAAAAGCTAAACAAACACAGTTTGTGGAAGGGCAGGTTCAATACAGTTCAAGGAGGATCTGCAGAGAATAAGCTAATTCAACTGATTTCCCATGGGATAAAGGTGGTAAATGATACCAGGAGGATGCTCACTTATAGGAAGGGGCTTGACCCGAAAAGGTAAGGTCCAAGAGTGATGGTGGCCCCTTGTGTGGCTTTCAGAGAGGTCCCAGCAGACCATTGGTTACAGGCTCTCTGTGGCTGTCCAGAGACTTGGGAAAGGGCTTAGGAAGCTATTTAAAACTAGGCCCCTGACTGTTGCTTGGCCTCCCCTGTTGTTCACTCAGTCGTGTCTGACTCTTTGCTACCTCACAGACTGCAGCACGCCAGGCTTCCCTGTCCTTCACCCTGAGTTTGCTCAAACTCATGTCTGTTGAGTCAGTGATGCCATCCAACCATCTTATCCTCTGTCACCCCCTTCTCCTCTTGCCCTCAGTCTTTGCCAGCATCAGGGTCTCTTTACCCTTAGACCTCGAACAAGTATCCAGTCTCAGGGATCACAGGTGGGCATTCTCTATCAGGCACTGAGTTTTTACGTACATGTGATGTTCTCCACCTAGAGTGATCCTCCCTTGTGAGCTGACAATTGCTTAGATGTGGCTTTCTTGCCAGCAAGACTCTCTGACTCTTTTCTTACCCCTAATCCCTGACGCAGCACATTTCACGCTGCCATGAATTTGTCTCTGCTGTTCTCTTTCCCTCTGGACCACCTTGAAAGTGAAAGTGAAAGTCGCTCATTTGTGTCCAACTCTTTGCCATGGAATTCTCCAGGCCAGAATACTAGAATACTGGAGCAGGTAGCCATTCCCTTCTCCAGAGGATCTTCCCAACCCAGGGATCTAACCCAGGTCTCCTGCATTGCAGGTGGATTCTTTATCAGCTGAGCCTCCAGGGAAGCCCAAGAATACTGGAGTGGGCAGCCTATCCCTTCTCCAGCAGGTCTTCCTGACCCAGGAATCGAACCAGGGTCTCCTGCATTGCAGATGGATTCTTTACCAGCTGAGCTACCAGGGAACCACCTTGGCTGTGATACAAATGCTTGAGACATGAGGACTACCTTGTCCGTTACTGTGTCCCCAGTGTCTGGCATAATATCTGGCACAGAGAAGTCACCCTGTGAATATTTCTTAACGCAGATGAGATAGTATTAGTGCCTAAATTTGCAGAGGATTTATCATTCACAAAGGATTTTTAACATCTAATGTCTCACTTAATGCTACCAATAACTCTATAATGTGTTTTTTTCCATTTTAC